CACATTAAAAAGTATTCAATGCAGTCACTAGCCATCAGAGAAATGGAGATTAAAACCATACGCACTGGAGTGACTAAAGTCTAAAAGACTGATATCAAATGTTGGTGAGGGTGTGGGTCAAACAGAATTTTTATAGATCGCTGGTAGCAATGCGAAACAGTACAGGCACGTTGAAAATCAGTCAGGCAGTTTCTCCTGAAGTTGGACCTCCATCCACCCTGGTAACCCACCAGCACCACTCCTTGATATGTACACAAAAGAATGAAGAAATACTTTTGTAAAAACGTGAATATTCTTGCTCATGTATACTGCTGTAGATCTTAGTTTGTACCGTACACATGATCATGTGTGGCCTTGTATGAGGTCACTGGTGTGTGTCGTGTGGCTCCCACAGAATATTATCTCACTGCATGAGTGCGTTCATATCACGACAGTCCCTTTCATTTGGTAAGCGCTCAGTACGGATTTGTTGAACTAAGAACACTTGTCACCTTTCTTGTGATGGCAGCAAAAGGAAGCAGCTCTAATGTCTTGTCAGCAGAATTGCGGTGCATCTATTGAGGACTCCTACCCAGCAGCGAAATGGAACATACTGCTCACACATGCAGCAAAAGCGTCAGGCTGAGCCAAAGAAGCCAGACCTCTCTTCTGCCACAGAGCATATTGCGTGGTTCCATTTTACTAGACCACGCAAAACTCATCTATTGTGGAAGAATTCTGAACATTGGTTGTGTGGTGGAGGGTTGGTGTTACCAGGGACCAACTGTGAAGGGGCATGGGCATGTTGCTGGAAGGATAGCAGGGCTCTGTATCTTTTTTTTTCTTTCCTTTTCTTTTTGTTCTTTTTAGACGGAGTCTCGCTCTGTTGCCAGGCTGGAGTGCGGTGGCGCCGTCACAGCTCACTGCGACCTCCACCTTGGGGTCAAGCAGTTTAGTAGCTGGGACTACAAGTGTGCACCACCACACCCAGCTTATTTTTGTATTTTTGGTAGAGACAGGGTTTCACCATGTTGGTCAGGATGGTCGTGATCCGCCTGTCCCAGCCTCCCAAAGTGCTGGGATTACAGGCGTAAGCCACCGTGCCCCAGCCCAGGGCTCTGTATCTTGATAGGGATTCCTGGGAGGTCACCTCTGCAGATCTCTGGGCCTGTTTTTCTCTGCACCTTTCTCCTCTCCTTTATTTTGCCCTCAACTTACAGCGCCCCTCCTTGTGCTGTGGTCTGTGTACTTTCTCAGGCAGTAAGCTGGGCTGACCTGGTGTGTTTGTCTCAGGAATGACTGTCCTTTGGTGTCTGATGTCAACTCTCTTGCACTGTTGCTTCGTAGGTTTTATTTACTTTTTTTTAGTTGCTTGAGGCATAAGAGTAAATCCAGCCCCTGTGGCTTGATCTTGACCAGAAGCAGCTGCCCTGGTTTGGACAATTTATCTGTTTTAAGCAATGTGTGGTCTCGTCATCTTACTGTTACATTGTAAGCTCTCACAGGGCTATGATTTTGGTTGGCGTTTGCTATACATCTAGCATCTACAAGCAAGAACACTTGGCATACTGTAGGCACTAAGTGAAGGTGTTGAAATGGGTGCATGATTCTTCCTTACTTCCTTTCCTCCCTTTACTTGTCGATTTCAAATGTTGAATAGAAAATCAATGCCTTATAGAAAAGAGCATTCTCTGTTTTTCTTTTTTTTCCTTTCTTTTTTTTAATTAGAGATAGGGATTCCCCATGTTGCCCTGGCTGGTCTCCAACTTCCAGGCTCAAGTGATCTGCCCACCTTGGCCTTCCAAAGTGCTGGGATTATAGGCATCAGCCACTGTGTCCAGTCAAAAGAGCATTTCCTAAGGATCCTTTGCAACAGCAGTCTCTTGATTCCTTATAAACAAAGGGTTCTGTAATCAAATAAGGTTGGGAAGCTTCTATGTACTGAGAAATCCTGTGGTGAAGTAATGTTTGTTCAGTTTTCCTTTCCTTCCCTTTCCCTTTCCCTTACCCTTCCCTTTCCCTTTCCATTCCCCTTCCCCCCTCCCTCTCCCAGTCCCCCTTCTGCTTCCCCTCCTCTTCCCCTCTCCCCTCCCCTTCCCCTTTCCCCTTCCCCTCCCCCTCCCCTCCTCCCCCTTCCTCCCCCCTCCCCTCCTCCCCCTTCCCCCTCCCCTTCCGCTTCCCCCCTCCCCCTCCCCCTCCCCCTCCCCCTCCCCTTTTCCCTTCCTCCTTTCCCTCTCCTTCCCCTCTCCTTCCCCCCTCCCCTTCCACTTCCCCTTCCCCTTCGCCTTCCTTTTTCTTTCCTTTCCTTTGAGACAGGCTCTCACTCTGTTGCCCAGGCTGGAGCACAGTGGTTCTGTTGTAACTCATTGCAGCCTCAAACTCTAAGGCACAAGCAATTTTCCCACCTAGACTCCCGAGTAGCTGAGGCTACAGGTTCACACCACCACAGCTGGCTAATAAACTAGAGTTTTCTTAACTTATTTGACCAGAGATGTTTTTTCACCTAAAACACCTACTCTTATATAATTTATAATTTCTGGAACCTATTCTGAAGGAATGTATTTGAACTAATGTTGAATATCTTATAAGTGCAATAAAACTATGTATATTTATCTTTCTATGGTTTTTCAAATATTTGTACATTATAGATATTTGATAATTTATATATTTTTAACAGCTTTATTGAGATATTTTAAGTTCAATGGATTTTAGTATTATAATCTATTGATGGATGTGTGCAACTATCACCACAATACATTTTAAAACACCCCTTACCCTTTAGCTGTCACCCTCCATTCTGCCTGCCTACCTCCAGCCCTGAGAAACCAAGGGCTGTCTACTTTTCTGTCTGTATAGATTTCTGTATTCTAGACATTTCATATAAAAAGGAATCTGTATACTATGTGGTCTTCACTTGATAATGTTTTTGAGGCCATCCACATTGTGGCATGTATTAGTACTTCATTTGAAATTTTATTTGTATTGTATTTTTAGACACAAAGTCTCTGTCACCCAGGCAGGAGTGCAGTGGTGCGGTCATAGCTCAATGCAGCCTTGAACTGCTGGGCTCAAGAGTCCTCCTGCTTCAGCTCCAGAGTTAGGACCATAGGCACTTGCCACTAATCTTTATTATTTTTTATTTTTTGTAGAGTTAGGGTCTTGCTATGTTGTCCAGGCAGGTGTCAAACTACTGGACCCAAGCTATCCTCCCTCCTGGGCCTCCAAAAGCATTGGAATTATAGCCATGAGCCACTGTCCCTGGCCAATACTTCATTCTTTTTATGACTGAATACTATTTCATTACATGGATATCACATTTTCTCTATTCATTCATTCATTAATAAACATTTGGATTGTTTACACCTTTTGGCTATTAGGAATAAATATTGCCATCAGCATTTGTGTACACGTTTTTGGTTGGATATAAATTTTTATCTCTCTTGGGTGTATACCTAGGAGTAGAATTGCTGGGCTACATGCTAGCACCATGTTTACTTGTTTAAAGAACTGGTAGACTGTGTTCCATAGTGGCTGCACCATTTTACCTTCCCATCAGTGGTGTTATGAGGGCTCCGCTTGTTCCACATTCTTGCCAGCACTTGTCAACTGATTTTGTGAGTCTCTTGGTGAGTTTGAAGTGGTGTCTCCTCATGGGTTTGTTTTGCATTTCTTTAGTGACTATTAATGTAGAGTGTGTTTTCATATGCATAGAATTATGTATTTCCTATGAAGAAATGTAGTTCATATTCTTTGCTCATTTTTGAATTGACTTATTATTGAGTTACAAAAGTTTTTAAAATATATTCTAGATGCAAGTCCGTTATCAGATATCAGATTTGCAGAAACGTGTCCCATTCTGTGGGCTTTCTTTTCACTTTCTTGGTAGCGACCTTTGAAACATAGTGTTTTTTGAAGTTTTTAATTTTGATGAAGTCCAGTTTACTTGTTTCTCTTATTGTTCATGCTTACATTATAAGTATATTTTTGTTGCCTAATTTTAGCTGAATCAAAGGAATAGACTTCATTTGATGTGTCAATGTTATGGAGTAAATAGCTAAAATAGTTTAAAATAGTTGTCATTAGCTTGAGACTATAAAATGTTGATGCCTTTTTATTAACATGAAATCAGATGGCATTTGGCTGAAAATTCCAATCATGGTGTAAAGTAAATGGAAAATGATATGTTTTAATTGAATTAAATGGCATAATGAAAAATAAAATCAATATTATTGATTTCAAGGCATTTTATTCAATAAAATCTTTTTTTTCCTCAAAATTTACTCCATTAATTCTACTCTACCACTGACATTTCCCTTTGCCATTAACCTTCAGACAATATAAAAGGACTGTTAGATGAGGGAATTAATGATTGACAGCTGGACTGGAAGTGGCTTTTCATTGGTAAAGAGCTTGAGCATGAATGGTGATATGTAATGAGATTATACATGTTGTTCATTGGAATATGTTTAGAAAAATCATGGCAAAGCTCTTTGTTTTAGGAGAAAAGGATGAAACAGTTGTTTTAAAATTACGTTTCTTTTATATAGGACTTGGGCTCCTTTCAGGGATTAAGGAGGGGAAGGCCTCACCTCTAGACTTGAATTACAGCTGTTTTGTTTTCGTATGTTTTACAGAGTAGAGTAGGAGCTTATTGAAATGTATTTTGAAAGGAGAGCTTCTCTGTGTGTGTGTGTGTGTGTGTGTGTGTAGTGTGTGTTTTAAAGGGCAGTCAATTGAAGTATACTGGTACAGAGAATTGAAAATATGGGAGTTTGTTGAGAAATCACTTTTTCTATCAAAGATACCAGGTATTTCTTCCTGAGTCAACAATAGGGTAAAGTGGTGTTCCTAAAATCCTACTTCATACTTCTTAATAAAAGACTTTAGACATGTGATCAAATTCATCTCAGTATAAAGGGCATTTCATTGAGGCTAACTATATGATACTTTTTCATCTAGTTTTGGACTAATACGTATGTCTTTATATTCAAGATTTAATAACATGTTTGTTTACTTCACAGGTTATGAGTGCCAGTGAGCCACCTTAGATAAAGCATCATCAGCACTTTATTAATGATGGATAGTGAGAATAAACCCGAAAATGACGAGGATGAAATGATAAACAAAGAAGCACAAGACTTGACAAAGCTTTCATCCCATAATGAAGATCATGGGCGTGTATCCGACGTGATAGCAAGTCTCCCTGAGAATTCTACGAACAAAAGAGGTTTTTCAGAATCATTGAACTTTGGTAGTGTTGTTACAGGAAAAGACAGTAATAAACATGCTTCCAAACGTAGGAAATTAGATGAGGCAGAACCCCTTAAATCTGGAAAGCAAGATGTTTGTAGGTTAGAAACTTCTGAAAGCTCAGCCACAGAAGAGGGTATCACAGTGGATGCAGCAGGGAAGAAGGCCTTCCTGAGCGACCGCACAGTTGGAGGCACGTGTCTCCCGAATGCCCTCTCCCCTTCTCGCGATGTTAGCACTGTTGATGTTGTTTCTCTGAAAACAGACATTGAACAAACGTCTGCTCAGGAAATGATTTCCCTTGATCTGGAAAGAGAATCTCCTTTCCCCCTGAAAGAAGTTAATGTTAGTTGTACCATCGGGGATGTAGATACAGTCCTCAAGTGCGGCACCTGTGGGCATTTGTTTTCTTCATGCTCTGATTTGGAAAAACATGCTGAGTCTCACATGCAGCACTCTAAGGAACATACCTGTTGTCACTGCAGCCACAAAGCAGAGAGCAGCTCAGCACTCCATGTGCATATCAAACAAGCACATGGGCTACAGAAGGTCTTTTCTTGTGATCTTTGTGGTTTTCAGTGTGCAGAAGAAAACCTGTTGAATGCACATTATCTTGGCAAAACACATCTCCGTCGTCAGAATCTGGCTGCTCGCGGAGGATTTGTACAGATCTTAACAAAACAGCCTTTTCCTAAAAAACCATGTACAATGGCAACAAAAAATGTTCGCTCCAAGCCAAGAACTTCTAAACCAATAGCAAAAAACAGTGATTCAAAAGGATTACGAAATGTGGGAAGCAAATTTACAGATTGGACAGGAAGCATTTCTGAACAAAGTGGCAGTAGTAGTGAGCTTCTTGTTGAAATGATGCCTTCCAGAAATGCTTCGTCACAGGAAGTAGAGATTGTTGAAGAAAATGTTACTTCCCTTGGTATAACTCAGAATCCTGAAAACCAGAGTAAAAAGCTAGACACCTTAGTAACCTCAGAGGGTCTCTTAGAGAAATTGGAATCTACCAAAAATACCCAGCAGGCAGCACACAGTATCAGTGTAATCTCGAGGCCAAGACCCGAGCGAAATATTCTCGTGTTGGGTAATAGCTTCCGTCGACGAAGCAGCACTTTTACCTTGAAGGGCCAGGCAAAGAAAAGGTTTAATCTTTTAGGAATTAAAAGAGGCACAAGTGAAACTCAGAGGATGTTTATGAAACACTTTAGAACACAGATAAAAACACACGATGCAGAGTCAGTGCCGAAACACTTGGAAGCGAGCAGCAGTGTGCAGAGACTGTGTGTGACTACCTCAGAAACTCAGGAGGTGGAGCAGGGTCGGGGGAGCACCTGTACTCGGGGCTCCAGGCTGGACTCCCTGACAGTGAAGCCAGCTTCTGACCCTCAGACATTGTGTGCTTGTACAGACTGTGGGCAAGTTGCTACAAATAGGACAGATTTGGAAATCCACGTGAAAAGGTGCCATGCCAGAGAGACGAAACTTTACTGCCATACTTGTGACTTCTCTAGTACATCAAGGAGGGACTTAGATGAGCATTCGCACAGTCCCCAGCATCAGCAAACTGCTTCTGCCCTGAGTTGTCAGTGTTGTTCATTTACATCCTTGAATGAAATAAATCTTAGGGACCACATGAAGGAAAAGCATAATATGGCTTTTCTTTGCACCCCTTGTAATCTGTTCTTTTTGTCTGAAAAAGACATGGAAGAACACAAAACCACCGAGAAGCATATTAGTTCATTGGTTCAACCAAAGACTTCGCAATCATCTAACAGTGATTTGGTTTTACAGACTTTACCTTTAAGTATTTTAGAATCAGAAAATGCAAAAGAGTCTATGGATGACTCAGGAAAAGTGGCTCAGGAAGAACCTGTGAAGTCCAGGGTAAGCCATGGTAATGAAGTGAGGCATTCCAGTAAGCCTCAGTTTCAGTGTAAGAAGTGTTTTTATAAAACAAGATCTTCTACTGTCCTCACGAGACATATAAAGCTTCGGCATGGTCAGGACTATCATTTTCTTTGTAAAGCTTGTAATCTTTATTCATTGAGCAAAGAAGGAATGGAGAAGCACATTAAAAGAAGCAAGCATCTTGAAAATGCTAAGAAAAATAATATTGGCTTAAGCTTTGAAGAATGTATTGAAAGGGTGTGTATAGGTGCAAATGATAAAAAAGAAGAGTTTAATGTTTCCGGAAATGGAAGGATTGAAGGCCATGTAGGTGTGCAATTACAAGAGCATTCCTATCTTGAGAAGGGCATGCTGATGCCTAAGGAACTGTCACAGTCCGGTGATAGCACCAAAGATGATGAATTAGCTTTGACCACTACTCCAAAGAGAGGGAGACCTAAAGGTAACATCTCACGGACATGTTCACACTGTGGTCTTTTGGCCTCTAGTATTACAAACTTGACTGTTCACATTAGACGAAAACACAGTCACCAGTATAGTTATTTATGCAAAGTGTGTAAGTATTACACTGTAACCAAGGGAGATATGGAACGTCATTGTGCTACCAAGAAACATAAAGGACGGGTAGAAATAGAAGCAAGTGGAAAACACAGTTCAGATATCATTGTTGGCCCTGAAGGGGGTGGCCTTGAAGCCGGAAAAAAGAATGCTGGCTCAGCAATGACCATGTCAGATGAACATGCTAACAAACCAGCTGAGTCACACGCCTCTCAAAAGGCAGATCATGGAAACTCAGTTGAAGCCAAAGTTGAAAATGTATTTCATTCTCTAGATGGAGAAGTTAATAGGCATCTTCTTGATAAAAAGGAGCAAATATCTCTAGAGCCAGAGGACCTTGTCCAGCAGGGGGATGTGTACTCCCAGAGAGACGTTACAGGCACCGGTGAGAATAAATGTATGCACTGTGAGTTTAATGCTCACTCCTCTGCTTCTCTAGAGCTACATGTAAAACGGAAACATACAAAGGAGTTTGAGTTTTATTGCATGGCATGTGATTACTACGCAGTGACTCGTCGCGAGATGACCAGGCACGCCGCAACAGAGAAGCACAAGATGAAAAGGCTGTCTTACCTGAACTCTGCTCATGTGGAAGCAGGTTCTGCAGACACGTCCAAAAAAATCATTGTGCCTGAAGAAGAGCATCAACAAAATTCTGAGGAATTTCAGATAATTTCAGATCAATCATCTGATACTCTTAAAGCTAGAAATGCTGCAGATTGCTCTATTTTAAATGAGAATACTAATTTAGATATGTCTAAAGTGCTCTGTGCTGCTGACTCTGTAGAAGTTGAGACTGAAGAAGAATCTAATTTCAATGAAGACCATTCCTTTTGTGGGACTTTCCAACAGGCTCCTGTCAAGGATAAAGTTAGGAAACCCGAGGAGATGATGTCCTTTACTATTTCCTTGAACCATGACTCCCCAAGCAGATTTCAAAATGAAAATTCAGGAAGCTCTGCTTCAAATTGTGAGACAGCAAAGAAAAACCATGAGCTATTGAAAGATGCAGGTGAGCTACGCATCCATTGTGAGAGTGAAGGAGGAAGCGTAGGAGACAGTGAAGGTGACGTTCCTCACCGACACCTGTGTCCTGCAGTGCTCGCTGGGGAGCTCTCGGCTGAAAGCCCCACTCCTGTTGTGACAAGAATAACCAGAGAACAGGGAAATCTGGAGAGTGGGGGTCAGAACAAAGTTTCATGTGGGCATGGTTTGGAGGACCTGAAAAGGGTCCAAGAAGATCCCATTCTGGAGAAAAAGGAAATTCTGATGAATTCCCAACATGAAACAGAAATTATTTTGGAGGAGGATGGCCCAGCTTCTGATAGCACAGTTGAAAGTAATGATGTCTATGAAACTATAATTAGTATTGATGATAAAGGGCAGGCCGTGTACAGTTTTGGCCGATTTGACTCCTCCATAATAAGAATAAAGAACCCAGAAGATGGTGAGTTGATAGACCAGTCTGAAGAGGGCCTGATAGCAACTGGAGTGAGAATTAGTGAGCTGCCCTTGAAAGACTGTGCTCAAGGTGTGAAAAAAAAGAGATCTGAAGGCAATTGCCTTGGTGAGTCTACACGCATTCGCTGTGATGATTGTGGCTTCTTAGCAGATGGACTGAGTGGACTGAACGTTCACATAGCCATGAAGCATCCTACAAAAGAGAAGCACTTTCATTGTTTACTCTGTGGAAAGTCCTTCTATACCGAAAGCAACCTTCACCAGCATCTGGCTAGTGCCGGCCACATGAGAAATGAGCAGGCCAGTGTGGAAGAGCTTCCGGAGGGAGGGGCCACGTTTAAATGTGTCAAGTGCACAGAGCCCTTTGATTCTGAACAGAATTTATTTCTACATATTAAAGGGCAGCATGAGGAATTGCTACGGGAGGTGAATAAATACATAGTGGAAGACACTGAGCAAATCAACCGCGAGAGGGAGGAAAACCAGGGAAACATCTGCAAGTATTGTGGAAAGATGTGTCGAAGCAGCAACTCGATGGCCTTCCTGGCACACATTCGCACTCATACAGGTATGTAGCTCCGCAGCAAGCCAAGTCAGTGAGGACATGGGGCCATTTGTTCCCATCCAGACAGACAGCCCTACCTGTAGCTGCTCATTGGCCTCCACCCAGTTCACATTTCACTGCTATGTGCTGCTCTGCTTGGCTATAATAAGTCATTGTTGACACTTCACATTTTTAAGGGTAATTAAGCCCTAGTGATCTCAAAGGCAGGTTAGTTGACGCGTTTCTTTTAATTTTGTTAAAAAGCCTGGTCCCTCTGATGCCTTTTACAAACTGCTGTCTGTTGCAGCTTTTCAGTTGTTTCTGAGTCCTAATTATTTGGTTTTCCAAAGTATATATTAAGTGGTACCTTATAATTTCAGAGGACATGTTAAGTGACTTTTAAGGAATGGAGTAATTAGATTTTTCTTATGATATTAGGGATGTAAAAATATTAATCACTAGATATTTTATATCCAAAAGTGTAACTTCCAGGCAACAAGATTCTACCTTCATGGATCAAAATTAGCCACCACTTTCCAAAGTTAACATGTGCTAAGGATCTGGTGTTCTTGGAGGTAGCACCTGATTTAGTCTCTGTGCTCTGTCACAGTTAGTGTTCCATTTTAATGTTTAATTTTAGGTGGAAAGTTTTTTAAAAAACATTTTTTTTGGTGGAAAATGCATAAGCTACTGTTCTAAATTTATGTAAAAATTCGCTGCACTGTTTCTATAAACCTGCCATACATTCTTTATTTTAAATAGACAGCTTTTCTAAATCATGTGCTCTGCTTAGACAAGTTCTGTCTCCATGCTTGAATTTATGAGTGGATTTGAATAATAAATTCACATTTCAATGAACATATTTTCATTAAAACTGTAAGGTTTATTTTACTGTACTTTTAAATAATGGCTTATTATTAAAGCTATACTTTAAATTCATACAGTTTTTGATACTTTGTGCATGGTTACACGGAAGAAGACAAAAGAGTAGGAAGCGTCATTACTTGTTTAGGGTGATTAAAGATAGATAAAAGTTTTTCGTTGAAGGAAGTAAAGGGGCAACCTGCATAAGATTAATCTAGATAAGTACAGACATTGTACTTTTGATCCCAAATGTTCCCATGCGCTGCAGCCATTTCTCGGGAATAAGCCGAATGCTTATTTGTTTGCATTGTTAGTTTCTCTGTCAGTGCCTTGTTGCAGCTTTCTTTCTGGAATGATACAGTTTTAGAAATAAGTCTTGCTCACATGTGCAGAAAATATGTACTTTCTTAATATGCCCTCTTAAGGCAGATGAAACTGAATAAAACTAAGAGGAAGATGCTAATGGAGCTCTTTTTAGAATTCTTTATGCAACTGTCTGGTCAAGACATGTTGCTTATAATTGATGTGTCCATTACTTGAATTCTCTTGTAATTATAGTCAATAAGTCTTGTAAATGTGTTAAAGCTCACTAAAAGCATACAAATTCAAGAACAGAGTAAGGCTAATAATTTAAAATAATCAATGTAGGCATTTCAGCACTTAATTTCCCTTGTGTGTTGATAGCTGATCATTCTTAATCCATTAAGATTTATTTAGTCGTTTACAATGCAAAATAGGTTTGCACTGGTCACTTGTGCCATTTGAAAATGTCCACCAGGTTAAGTGCAGAATGTAGTCCATTAGTCTTCCTTGACTATATGTATTAATTGCATTTAAAATCAAGTTAATGTGGATGTGAAAGTGAGGTAACTATCAATATGTGACAAAGTAACCCTACTTATATAAGTTACATCATTGATTGTAACATTTAGTAAAAGTTAGCATATTTTTTCTTAAACTTCATGTGTTGGTCGTATCAGGAAGTACATTTTTATTGTGCTTTGAAACACTACCAAGAGCCCTGTTCCTGAGGACACACTACAAGTTTACCATTTCAGTTTTGCAAGTCATTTTATTGGGGAAATTGGTCTCCAGGTTTAATTCAAGGTTTTTTTCTTGGAGCATCTTAAAATGAATTGCTTTTCAGATATTTTGCTTATGTTCATAAAATAGTAATGCAGAGACTATTATTAATGGTTAACTGGAAAAGAGCTTACTCTTCCAATCCCTGTTTTCATATTTTGTGATTTACTGTATGTTTTATATAACCTTTCCCCCCCATCCTTAGCATGATAAAAACAGCTCTATAAGAAATAAATGAGTTTTGGTTATCAAGCATTGTAGGAAAAAGCATCCTTAGAGTCTCCCTGTGTGCATGCTACTATGAAGCAATCAACATGACCAGAATGGGCAGTCTTGCCTTTCATGTTACATTAGTAGACCTAAAAAATGTCATTTTCTTTTCTTTTTTTTTTTTTTGAGACAGAGTTTTGCTCTTCTTACCCAGGCTGGAGTGCAATGGCGTGATCTTGGCTCACTGCAACCTCTGCCTCCTGGATTCAGGCAATTCTGCCTCAGCCTTCTGAGTAGCTGGGACTACAGGCACGCACCACTATGCCCAGCTAATCTTTTGTATTTTTAGTAGAGACGGGGTTTCACCTTGTTGACCAGGATGGTCTCGATCTCTTGACTTCGTGATTCGCCCGCCTCGGCCTCCCAAAGTGCTGGGATTACAGGCTTGAGCCACCGTGCCCGGCCACAAATGTCATTTTCATTTCTCCCGCATTGGTCTGTCAAAGCTTTTATTTCATGTTGCATGGGCTACTGTTGAGCTACCAGATTGTCTGAAGTCATGCATTTTTTATGTTTAGAGTGCTCTGGTCGCTAGTGCCATCTCAAAATGTTCCAGGGAGATAGGTAGTGTGTGACTTCACTAAAAATTTCTAAAGTTAGGACTGGTAGTGTTTGTAGCTTAATACGTGACAGAGGACAGACAGCTCAGTAGGAGAGTTAATCTGTAGACTTTTCAGCACAGTGACAAAGACTTCCCATTGTTGACTGCCTCATTTATGTCTCACACTTAGTTGGCTCTTGGTATATCTTGATGAATGAATAAATGAAGGAGCACATGAATGAATGAATGAAGTGTTTGAATGGTTAGGGAGGATTGTAGGATGATGGCTCTGTTAGGTATTGGGTAATATACAATGTCATTCATTCCTTCAAGTTCTAAAGGCCTTCATTTGGTATTTTCTCTTTAATGCTAATGTCACATCCATGTCTTCATAGCAATTAATAATGACTGATGGTTGAGGAGTCCCTGTAGGCCTGAGTGAAGACCTAGTTTTTAACGATTTTGAAATTATTTTGATAAAGTGATAAGACACCAGAAAGATACAGAGTCTCTTTAGTTTTTCCCTTTGAAAAAAACCTTATGGACCAAATGAAGACCAAAAAAACCTACTGAGGATATTGCTGTTCCAAGAAATGGAACTATTGCAAATAATATTGTAGGTTTTTAATAATCAAAGTGTACCTGAGAGGAATATTTAGAGATCTGTGATTTTATAATTTTGTCTTATAAACACTATGCCTGCATTCATTTCAGAATGTGCCTAGCAAACTTAAAAATGGAAACATTATTAGTTAGGGAAAAAAGAAAGAAGGGTCTTTTTTTTTTTTTAATGCAGAGAAGTATTACCTCTGCTAGTATTTGAATTTTTATGGCACAGAAAGGAGATGTTAACATAGTCTACTCTGAATATAAGATGTAAAGAATAGTCAAGGCCTCTGTGATTCTGGGTGAAGCAGTCAACAAAATAGCTCATTTAGGAATTGCCAGCATACTGTGCTGTGATCACTGAGACCTGCAGAAACTGGAGGTTTCCACAGAGGAGCCACACACAGGAAATTGAACACACCAGAGACCCCACGTCCATATCTCTGTGGCATCTGTGCCACAGGAGGAGGAGCTAGTCACATGGAAGGTGCTGTGTGAGCAAAGTGAACACTCAAACCCATGAGACTTTTACATCCTTCGCCAAAACTGTAATACAAATTTGGGAGAGGTTTATCTTCTTCGTTTGGAGTCCTGATATTATTGTTACCTAATAATGTCCTAATTACTGTGTTATCTTTAGAGCCTTTCAATTTAAAGTATTGGTAAATTGGTTCTTCACTCATTTTCAAAAGTTCCTTTATAGAATTCTATGTCTTAGTGAAATGTTTAAAGTAGTGATAGGCTTAGTTTTCTCAGAATCATTTAAATAAACTGTAGTTTCTAATGTGACTTATAGAATGTGATTGCTGTAAGGTGCAGTCTCAACCTGCTTTTGACATTTAAACATATAAACCTGACTAGATATAACCATTCAGGTGCTAAATATATTTTACATCTACTTCTAACAGCAGAAATGGAAGTATTAAGAGATCTGGCTTCATTGTCATTGAACTGTGAAATATTCAACCTTGTCTGCCCGTGCTTAGTACTGTTGACTTTTTTATTTCTGTTGGAAGATTAAAATTAAATGCTTCACTTTTTTTGTCAGCTTTTGGGAATTAAATTGAAATTTAAGACTAAAATTTTTTACTGAGTGCTACAATTTCAACAAAGTATTCTTGGAGGATTTTTTTTTCCAAGGGCACTGCACAAAGGTTCATTGATCAAATATGATTTATTATAATTTTTTAAATTTGAGCTTTTTGTATATTTATTAAAGTTCACATATTTCATGTTCTATCTAACTGTAGTAGAGGGAGTATTTCACCATGTAAGTACTAAATATGATACCACAAATCTGGTAACATACTGTTCTGATTTTAAACTGGTTTTTACGATTATGATTTATTTATTTATTTGAAGATGTAGTGGTTAGAAAGTTGGGAAATGGTGTATACATTTTATAGCTTAAGAGTGTTGTTTCTCATTAATGTGAATACTGATTATCTGTTAATATGTTTCAGTTTCAGTCTTATCTGTTACTGACTCTAAGTGTGTAGACTTTGAAATAATCTTATTTTCACATTTTTTAGTATAGCTTAATCTTATTTCTTTATGAAATAATTTAAAAAATTTTGTTGCTTCTATGCTTTTTGTGTTGAAATATTTGTTCTTGAAGTTAATAAACAAAATGTCAATTCTGCCAGTTTGTTGAATCATCATAGATTTTGGACCATAAAAATGATCATAAAAGCACAAAAATTATCTACTGTATATTTATAAATTATCTTATGAAAAATACAGAGAATAATTCGCTATCAATGTCAGAAAAATATCTGAAATATACCATTGTTAACGTAAGTAAATTCAAAGCTGGAGAAATATGAGGAGACAAGGAGATGGCCACAAGAAATGTATGTGATGATAAATATGCTTTTAAAAATATCAGCTGCTCTGTGTGCATTTGTGTTTTAAAAATGTTCCCTTTGAAGTGTTGAGTGACTTTAAGATGTATTTTTGTGAATTGTAAGAAAAATATTTAAGATTATGTAGCTCATTTCATCTACTTAGTGCTACTCAGCAGTCTCACTTTAGACTTTGAATCTTAGAATTGTTACTGGAAGTTAGGAAGACTCACTGAAACATTAAAGTCTTCAGAGTAAAATAATTATGGAGGCAGGTCTATTCAAGTTACAAATCAATGCAGGTATTCCATTTCGGGCACAGAAATTCTTAATTAGGTTAAAGGTGTGATTTAAGATTTAGTCCTCTTTTCTAAGCTATCAGTGATGTATTCAAAATCAAATCATATTTATGTTAAATTTACTCAGGATCAAAACCATTCAAGTGCAAGATATGCCATTTTGCAACAGCTCAGCTTGGAGATGCCAGAAACCATGTGAAAAGGCACCTTGGGATGAGGGAATACAAGTGTCATGTCTGCGGGTGAGTAAACTGAAGCCATCTCTGCTGCATGAACCAGGAGGCATGTGCAAGATAGCCTTTGTTTCGGAATTCAAAACCGATAGGAGTAAGAGTGGCTAAAATTATGCATGCGTACCCTTCTTTCCATTGTTATGGTAAATTCCTTAAATACAGTTATGACATTCTTCTCCCACTTCTAATCCTGTACTGAAGATGAGCAATTTTATGGGCTACAAGGTCAATTTGAACCTGTAATCTATAAATTGACTAAATTATAGGATGTTCATTCACATTGCCAGAGAGAACTATAAATTCCATTTGAAGACATAAAAAATACATAATATAGCTTTAGGAGTGTATATGTATGTTTTTTTTTTCTTTTCTGTACTACTTTAATTTTTATCACATTAATAGCTCTTTGGATCCATTGGACATATTCTATAAGGAAAACAACAAAAGATTTAATTTCAGATGGCTGGTTACTGAGCATTGCAGGGATGATACTGAAGAAAACTGTGTTATGCATTTTTGTGTAACTTTATTTCAAAACTTATTTTCTTTTTTAGTTGATGGTTCTTTCTCTGAAGAATCATGTGCAATGTTTAATTGTCATTCAAATGTGTTGCATTTAATAGAAAGTGCTAAGGTGTCTTAATGCAAGACTAATTAATTTAGCAGAAATGTTTAAAAGGTTTTAAAATGCTACGACATATATGGTATATCATAAGACATTCAGAGGTGGATTTTAATGCCCTACTTCTGATTAAAAGTATATTTTAATGTTATTATGCCAGAGAAATTAACTAATAAGTGCATCAGATAAAAATTATTCATGTGAAACCTGAGAAACTTGCAATTCTTATGGCTAATTCACAAAATAACACAGGCTCAATTAAATTATGCAATGTGCACATAGGAGGTTTATTTTCTTTTTTAGTAGAAGCTTCTGCTGATTGATACTACCATGTAAATATGTTTTATGTCAAAAACAAGTTCTGTTATTTGTTGGACAGTACACTTTATCCCAGGATGCAATTGCGTGTTTTGACCCTTAGGATAGTTTTGCAAGTACCTTTGCAAGCAGTTTTATGAACCATGGTCGGTGATACATTCATTGGCAGAATTGATGGTTCAGTGACTTGCAGCTGAAGTAAATGAAGATGGCCCGAAAGCTCCCTGAAGACCAGTGGGAGAATGAGTTTTGTTACTACTGATTTTAGCTGCAAGGGTGAAGTGCCAAATGGTTCATTTTAGTGGTTTTAGGTCTATCTCATCCATTGTTTTTACCGTGCGTGTCATCAGAGGCCCTGACTCCAGTGAAGATTTGCGATTAGGTGGCAGTAAGCAGCTTTTTTCTCATTTCTGAGAAGTAAGTAAACACTTTTCGCATAGTCTGTCCATAGAGATCTAATTCCATTCATTTTTTAATTAGGGTTACTTAGATCCTAGAATGAGAAGTTTCTCACAAAACAATTTCTAACGTATCTGGCATCAAAAAGAATACATAATTGATTGGCTTTAGGTGTATGATTTGAGCAGTGCACACCCTGCTCACTAACTGCTTGCCACATACACCTGAAATATTGCATGAATAGTTCATATATTTGATTCCAGAGATACAGAATTGTAAATAATTATACATACATTGAGTTTTATACTGCCATCAGAGAAAGCTGTGTGTATGTGTGCGTATGTAGAACAAGTATTCTGGAGTCCAGAATTGTATTTCTTAGACTTACGACAGCCATTGAATTTCATCAGACTAGGAAATAATAGCTCTTTTTATGTTTTAAATTAAATTTGATTGAAAAGTTACGTAGCAATAATTTTAACAGTGATGCTGAAAGTTCTGAAGAATTGCAGTAAACTGAAGAATCCTTACTGATCTATGTAGTTGAAACAAAATGGTAGTGAATTAGGTACCCTTCAATGCTACAGAAAAAGTATCATAGGTTGATCCATATTTCATGTGTTTCAAAGGGATAGGGCAGTGTGTAAGTTAAAAATTAAAGTGAAAAACAAAAATGTTCAAGGATTGGTAATCAGATTACTGGCACCAGAGAGTATTTGTACATTAACATCACTGACAAAGTCAATTCATTATCATTGATGGCTAAATAATCTTAGAATGCTCAGTGGACCTATTAGTTCCTGAACATAAGCAGCTCATGCTGCATTTCTTCATTAGCTTTAATTGCTATAAATTTTACCTTTTACAAAATCATGCTTTAAAAGGTAAAGTGATCTTTCAGGAACATTAACTGTAATTTTGTCACAAACAGAAGGTCCTGCGTTATGTTTTCTTTTCTTTACTAGCTAATATCTTAGTCTCGTCTTTTAGAATTTTCTTAATGAGCTCTTCATTATTTGAGTTATAAGGAGTTATTTCCCAAATAGTCTTGATTGACCAAAAATTATAAAAAATTGGGCAGTCACATTTTTAAAGTGAAATTGTTACTCACAATACTGTACTCTATTTCTTAGTAACCTCTTGGTTTTCTTGAAAAACACTATTTTGTGGTGAAATTGATGGAAACAGCAAACAGTACTGAGCTCAATATTAATGTCTCAGATTATTCGTAATTGACCTCTTTTTCAGATCTTTATATGAGGTGATTTTGGATGATCATCAGCTACACGTTTTGTGTTTCTCACTAACACGTAGTTTTAGGGTTGTGTACTAGCAATACCCTTAACAAAAACTGCCTTTTAAACTTTTGTCTAACTTCTCTGAACCTCGATCGATTTTCTTTGAATCTCCAGGAGCATTTGAAGGTATCATTCCCCTCTCTTGCCCTGCCCCACTGGCACATCTAGCTACTGTATATCTTGGGTTTAAGTTAGTTTGACATAAGAAACTGCATGTGTTAGATGTCTAATTTCTATTAGGTAGTTAAGATTAAGAATTCAGACTCTAAGTTTTGTTTACCCAAGGTTTACCTGCTCATGTGGTGGTAAAAGTTTCAAAAATGTATTGCTTTGTACTTCATGTTTTTAGTACACATTATGTATAACTTTATGTGAGAGTCATTTATTTTACTTTCACTTTTGGGGGAGCACTTTTTTTTTTTTTAAGTAGAGTTTCTTAATTGCTAAAAATATCCAAGTGTGATTGAGAGAGGAATTTTGTAGAACGTAGGTGTGTTTATATTTAGGCACTTGGTGGATAGTTAACTTGAAAATCTGTTATGGGTCTGACATAGGGGTTAGTGGGAGAGAAAGTAAGAAATAACAGAAAGTATACTTTTTTATACTTAATACTTTTATTTAATAATTCTGTGTTTAGAAAATAGGCCAAATGCATATTTTTATTACATTTATGATGTTTTTATTTTTTTCAATAGTCAAAAACTTGAAAATCTCAATGACTTTAGAAATTATTTTAGGCACCATGTCTTGTTAAATTCTTTTAAATTTATTTTATTCTCTATGTATGTATAAAATATTATGCCTAGTACTCTAAATAATATTTATTCAGTGCATTGTGGTTTAATAAATAGCTTTGATTAACTTCTGTCTCACGTGCTATGGCTTTGTAGACTGATGCTTGTTATCCGCATTTTACTGACGGGAAACTTAATATTCAAAATGTTTTTAGCAATGTACGTAAATTATCTGATCAGTAATGGTACACCACTTTTCTTCCTTTAACTCTCCCTTTTCTTTATTTCTCCATTAATTGTTGTAATACTCATTTTTGTTCCTGACTTAACTTTAATTTGTACTTATTTTTTCCTCTCTAGGCTGTTTTCACTAAGCATGTAGTTAATGTAAACTTACCTACCTTCTCCTTGCATCTACTTTTATTTTCTGCTTTTGCCCAGAGTTACATTTTTTAAAAGTTGCTTGCACAGTGCTTTACTTTTATATTCTGATATTGTCTCTCTCTTTCTCTCTCTCCTCCCCCTTCTCTGTTTTATATTTCCCACTTATAAGTGTTACTTTAAATAATTTTTTTCCCACTCTCTTTTATTTGTTGATAATTTATTACATTTACTTGAGGAATATATTTGTGTAATAGCAAGAGGTAAGCGTCTAAAAGTGTAAAGATTGTATCATCCCATTAAGATGAAAGGGATATGATTGATCAACTTTGCTTATTGTTTTTGTTTTGCAGTATTAATTTTTTTCTTAAAGAGTTGTAGGAAACTAGTATTTGGCCTGTGATTTCAACAAACCTGAGAAATGATAACTAAGTTTGATATGCCATTATTCATAAGTGTAGACCTGAGTGTGCATGATACAGGAGCTGCATTGTTTACTGATTGATTTCCCTGAGTCTCATCTTGATTCTTGTGTGTGGAGTTAAATAGTTGAATAGAATTTAATCAGGAGAGAATAAGGGCATTTTCTAAATCTGTCACATCTGGTTTCATGAAAAGATTCCAGACATTTTAAAATTGTATGTTAATGTGCTTATGAACTGTTTATTCCTAGTTGGTTTAAGAAACCTTAAATAGAAAGTTACTAATGCAGTAAAACTCTTTGTGTGTGTGTGTGTGTGTGTGTGTGTGTGTGTGTGTGTGTGTGGCATTACCTACTTTTTGTGCATTAGAAGGGATCTCTATGTAGATGATTATAATGTCACTTTCTGACCTTTGCAGCTTGAATAATTGTAAATCATTGCTTCATAACGTGTCAGAGAATGTCTGTACTAGGCAATTAAATGGCAGAATATAATAGACCAAATTATTGCCTGTCATGTTTTCAACAACACAGTTAGTGTTTGAGTTACACTTAATCATTACGTGCATTAGCAACTTTGTTGGGATCCAGCTTCAGGCTGAGCATGAAATGCATTACATTATTTAAACCTCTAATGGTACAAGTCATTTATTTGTGTTGAAGTGTACAACATGCAGAGTTTCATAAAGCAGGGAACACTTGAGAGCTTAATTTATCCAAATCAAAGTCTAAATGCAGATAAACACAAGTGGCAAAAATTAGTAATTTTTATAGGCTGGAAATATTTAAAAATACATGGTTGTGGGTAATTGTAGGCAGCAGGAATAAATTAAAAT